TGGAACTCCGTTGGACACAGGACAAGCTCATTCCATCCAAAGGCCGACAGGACAGACCCACCTTTGACCGAACCTGTATAGATGCCACGGTTTCGTCCGAGCTCTGCATTTCGGCGGACTGCCATTGGAGCGACGATGTGGAGCAGCATGCAAACCGCATAGCGGACCATTTTCGACTCCATTTGAGCAAGCGCTTTCCATTTAATCAACAACGTCCAAAGAAACCATACATTTCTGAGGACCTGTGGCAACTGCGATCAAAGAAACTCTTCCTGCGCAACCAGCTGAGGAAAGGGAGACAGCTTCTTCGCAGTGAATCCCTTGCTCGAATTTTCATTGCATGGAAAAGCACAGTTTCAGATCAAATAGATGCTGATGACATCCTGCAATTGTCGTTTGCATATGGGACCTCACTGCGTATCGGCTGCTTTCGTCGCTATGTTCAGTTCGCAGTGGTAACCACCACATTGCGCAGAGCAGTCCAGCATAACCGACAGCAGAAACCCCAAGAAATTTTGCAACAAATCACACCAGCGACACCAGCATCGACCATACAGAAGATGCTGCGCCCCTTCAAAGGCCCTTCAAACAAATTGAGACAAGGCATGGCACCCTTGCCTCTTGTCCAAGATGAACGTGGAGAATTTTGCAGGACTGCTGAAGTAGCCTTGAACCGATGGGTCACCTTCTTCGGCCAGATGGAAGGAGGACATCGTGCCTCCGAAGATGAGCAATGGACTACCTGGAGGCAACATTTAGTGCACTTCCTACAATCAGACATTTGCATTCCAGTTGAGGAGGTTCCCACGCTTTGTGAACTGGAAGTAGCTTGCCGACGAACAGCTGCAGGCAAAGCCTCCGGATTAGATGAACTCCCTTCTGAAGTGTGCAAATTTTGTCCTCGAGCGGTAGCAGTCCATTCGTACAGTTTGCTCCTCAAGACATGTGCGCATGGCCAGGAAGCTTTATCCCACAAAGGGGGCATCCTTCTACCAATCTGGAAAGGCAAGAACAAGAGCAATGTTCCGCGTTCAGATCGATTCTCTTGTCATCCTGTTTTGGCAAAGTCATGCACAAGGCCATTTGTTCTAAGCAGCTGGATCTCTACCAACACTTTCTCCAAGCGAAGCAAATTGGCGGCAGACAAGGGGTTCCTGTCACCTTAGGGAGCCATCAGGTCCGAGCCTTCCACCGCTTATGCAGTCAATTGAAACAGCCATCGGCACTTTTGTTCATTGACCTCCAGGAAGCATTTTACCGGGTGATCAGACCCTTAGTTGTCGAGGGCCCTATTGATGACGACCTCATTGCGAATATGGCGGCACGCATTGACCTTGATGATGGTTTCTTGCATGACTTGCATGCTGCTTTGCGCCAACCTAGCGCATTGGTGGCAGCGGGTGTACCACCCCACTTGAGACGTGCCATCCGTGCACTGCACACGGATACGTATTTCAAGTTACCCATGCAGCCGGATCAGGTTTTGACACACATTGGTACGCGTCCGGGAGATTCATTTGCCGATGTCATCTTTGGTTACATGATGGCAAAAGTTCTCCACAAGTTCCAACAAGATATGGACGCACTGGGGCTCCTACTGCACATCCCCCAAGAAGAGGCTTTTGGACTTGCCGATTCCTCCGCAGAAGCCGAGTTTCCATTTGTAGGCCCTTGTTGGATGGACGATTTGTGCATTTGCCTCACCGCCAAGTCAAACCTGACACTGGAACGAGCGCTAGGTACAGCCACTGGAGCCATTTTGGATACTTTTAAAAGCTTTGCCATGACTCCTAATCTGCAGCCAGGCAAAACTGCCATTGTGATCACACCCAAGGGTGCAGGGACGAAATCTTGGAAATGGCGCTTGTTTGGACCGAATTCAGACGGAAGTTTCTACAGTGTTGGAGAACACCACCCATATCGTGTACCACTTGTGACAGAGTACACGCACTTGGGGGGCAAGGTACACTTCTCCAGCACAGTCAAAAGAGAGATCAAGGTCAGGCTTGGACAAGCCCACCAGGAGTTCAACAAGAACCGAAAACTCCTCTATCAGAACGTGAATTTTGCCATTGACAAAAGAAGAGAACTCTTTCATAGTCTCATTTTGAGTAGGCTCCTCTATGGGGCTGAAACCTGGACCATCCAGGATCGCCAAACGAAAGATTATCTTCATGGTGGCATTATAGGCTTGTACAAGCGACTCCTCAAGTGGCCGTGTGATCAACCCATAAGTGATGATGAAGTCCTCTTCAGCACGGGCATGCCTTCTCCGTCTGAACTGCTGAGAGTGCGTAGATTGAGATACCTTGGCTCCTTGATGGCGGTTGACCACACTGCATGCTGGGGACTACTCAACCAAGACTTTGAGTGGCAGGAGCTGGTAAAGGACGACTTCAGGTGGCTTTGGCACCATCTTCAGAATTGCAGCGACCTTGGTGACCCCACCATGCACCTGCCACGCTGGGTCGAAATCATTCGTTGGCATAGAGGGTATTGGCGCAGACTGGTGCGCAGAGCGCTTGAGCATGCAGTGGGAGTGCACAAAAGAGAATTTCTCATTGCAACGGCCCATACTCGCTTCGTGAGCATTTTGGAGGACTTTGACTTCATCCAACGAGCCCAGGAAGCAGAACCGGCGCCTGCAGATGAAGGACCCGTCTTTGGTTGCATGTCCTGCCAGATCTCTTGCCGGACGCTTGGGGGTGAAGGTGCGCATATGCATCGATCGCATGGCAGTGTTCACCCAGTGCGCGCTCTGATTGGCAGCACACAATGTGGGGCCTGTCTCAAGGAGTACTTCACCATGGGAAAATTGAAAGCTCATTTGATACGATCAGATGTTTGCCGTACCACCTTGATTGGCAGAGGACATCGGGAACAGCCGCTTCCTGGCCTGGGGTCCATCGAGGACACTCTACGCAAACAGTCATGGGACAATCGTCCTCCGCCACTACCAGCCGAAGGTCCACGACTTCCGGATGTCCCACGACGTGATTTCGAAGCAGAACATGGAGGCCTCTATGAGGACATCATCATGGGGGTTATGGACATTGACATCGCCGACTTCGAGACCTATGTGCGGGAGTGCATTTCTAGCACGCCTATCTCCTGGACTTTGTGTCGTCGAACTTTGCAGGAAGTTCATAATCAATGTCAACAAGGTATCCCCGACATGGAGCCTCAGCGTTTGAATGACTTCTTGCAGATCATTGCTCGTTTGATGATCCCATCCTCGTGGCCCTTTTTGCTTAAGCTCCGAATGACGCCAGTGGCTACCAATTGGGGCTTTGAGGAAATCGAGCAGAAGCTTGCGGATCTCCAGATCCTGTCTTCCCAGCAAAGAGTTCCAAGACCGCTGGGTAAAGAAAGAGTTTTCCTTCATGCCTTTTCAGGCAGACGGCGACCAGGAGATTTACAGCACTACTTGGAAGCAGCATTTGGCCGCAATTCAGAAGGAGTGATACTTCATGTGGTCTCAATGGATGTGGTCATTGACGAGCACTGGGGCGATGCCTGCAATCAGGAGACGAGAGACTTCTGGCTAAGAGGGGCCCGTGAAGGCTACGTGCAGGGAGGCCTCTGCAGCCCTCCTTGCGAGACGTGGAGTCAAGCACGATTTGCGCAGCTGGAAGATCTCGCGGGCAGACAACCGCGGCCGGTACGCTCCTTGGACGAACTTTGGGGGCTGCACTCGCTAGCATTACGAGAGCTGTACCAGGTGGCGGTGGGTAATGAGTTGCTCCTGTTCTCGATTGAGCTGGTGATTTGCCTTGCAGTCTCTGAGGGGTTTGCCGTCTTAGAACATCCTGGAGAACCCAATGATCCGACCAAACCGTCGATCTGGAGGCTCCCGATTTTACAATTTTTGTGCCAGTTGCCAGGGTTTGAGTACGTGGACTTTGCACAGGGGCTCTTGGGAGCGAAGACTCCCAAACCCACACGCTTCCTCACCCTCAACATGGACACACTGCCTCAATTCATCCACTCCCATCGTCTTTGTGCTGATCTGCCCAAGACAGCGGCAATCGGGAAGGATGCAACCGGCCATTGGGCCACGACTGGCCTGAAAGAATACCCACCTGCACTGAATCGTGCACTGGGCGAATCTTTTGCTTTTCATCTCTTGCAACGTGATCTTGCCGAAGATGTTTCTGTTGATCAAGCCTTTTTGAACCGTTGCCGACTCATGCACGTGACTGAGTTTGGGAGTCACTACGGTCCCGACTACCATCAGAAACGAGACAGCAAGAGATGATCAGCTAATTAATCAAGTTGCCACGCCGCGACATCTAGTCACAAAAGGCCGTAGAAAAAAATATGTATGTATGTATATATATATATATTAGTATATATGGTACCCCCTACCAAATTGTGATTTTAATCGCTATTTGCAGTCTTTTTTAATATATTGCAATACTATTTTTTTACACCTGTTTTTTCAATAGTGAGATGCCATAACACCCATCCTCCAAGAACCATAGACAAGAAGAACCATAGACAAGCTGAGTCTACATTACATAACCTTAGGACAATTTTGAATTCTGATCTGAAGCGTTTGCAAGCGGTTGCAAACGACCAGAACCAAGAAGTAAGAAGTAAGGCTCTCAGAAAACTATCAATGTCCTTGGAACCAAGATGTTTTTTGAGAGCCTTACTTCTTACTTCTTACTTCTCGACTCTGGTCGTTTGCAACCGTTTGCAAACGGAAGTGACAGTCATATGCGTTAAGTACCGGCTCCTCCCATCAGCCTACCTCTGCCGACCTATCCACGTGGCACTGTCTGCCAAACAATGCCCAGGAGCATAAACATAAAAGCACCTCCTTTGCCGCATTGCAGCTTTCAAGGCGCCTGGGTTTCAAATATGTTGCTTTCCTGTTGCGTTGATACAAGTTCAGAGTCTTGTTGGCAACATTAGCATGAAAACCTCGCAGCCGCAGCACAGCAGTCAAAAAGAAGGCCCCTTCATTTCCGGTTCCTGCCCCTGCATCTACCATCATGGCATACCAAGTTCATGTTCAAGGCAGAGTTGACCTCATGAACGGTGGAGCAAGCATCCACCTCACGCCCATCGCAGTCGCTGCGGCAGCACCTCGTCCACAAGCTGCTCGACCTACTCCGGCCGAGATAGCAGAATGGAGCGTGCACTCAAGCCGCACACCGGTCACAAGGGAAGTTCTCAACTCCGCAATGTGCACCGTTCAAAAGCAACTCAAATTGCAGACCGGGCTGGCAGGTGAATGGACCCCAGAAGCCACGGCACGGCTTCGGGAGAACCTTGCCAAGCCGAAGAAGGGTGCCCCGAAGCAGCTAGCTTTAGAGGACAAGCAACCGTCGCTAAAGAGGCAAAAGTAAGCATCATCATCATCATCATCATCATTATCATCATCATCATCATCATCCTCATCATCATCATCATCAAGTTCGCCTTCGGGATCATCATCTTCTTCATCCTCGAATGGCCCCGCCCGTCCTCGATCTCGCAGTCCGTGTCATGAAAGTGATGCTGCGAAGTGCGCAATCTCACCAGGTTCGAGCGGGGCCAGCACTTGGAAGGAGACATTGCGTGGGGAGATCAAAGAGTTGCTTGAAGCAATCCAAGCGCACCAGGAGATTGAGGAAGAAAATGAGGAATTAAAGGCAGAAGTGCAGGATCTCACCCCGCTCATCAAAGTCTGTGACAGCCTCCGTGAGAAGATCGACCGCTTGGAGGAGGAAAACCTTTACCTCAGACAGATGCTGACTGGCTAGATGCGACTGCAGTGGTTTGACGGAAAAAAAGGACATTGGAGCAACTTGCCTCTGTTTGCTGATCGATTTTTGGACTGTAGGAGACTGGTTAGAAGAGTAGTGAATAAATTTTAGGGAGTTGGATAAAACAAAATCTGCCATGCATATTGTATACTGCATCTGTCGGTTGCAAACGTTGCAAACTCAATGCAGCAATGGTCTCATTGTCTCCAACTGACCTGTATCATCTGTGTATCGACTTGCAAGTGACATGCAATGCATACATGTTCTCTGTGGATTGATGCGCAGTCTGCACCACTTTGCCTTACTCTGTGCCTCCACCATGGCGGGTGCTTTGCTGGACGAGGCAATCGCCCAGGTTGGCTCGAAGCAATGGAACTTACGACCTTTGCAAGAGGCGACTGCAGGCATCAAGGCTTGCAGTGAGCCAATCACATTATCCGACTTCATTGATGGAGCGTGCCGACCCTTGGCCAAGGGAATCAAATCAATCCACGTTCTCTTCAATGCTCATTTGGGAATCCCATCGTGCGGAGACGCACAGAAGCTTGGTGATACTGTCTCTGGTTGTCGCTTCGCTGACCTACCTCTTCCTTTGAGCTTCAAGGTAGAAGTGCCTCGCCAAACCAAAATGGATTTTATTTCCCATGAACTTCAGAATGGCTCTTTTGATGTGCTCAAAGTCCTGTACTTGACACAGCCAATATCCCTGCAAACAGCGAAAGCTTTGTGCAGCGGCAATGCCTTTGTTCCTGTCTTCCGACCAGGGCCATGGAACAGCAAGAAGGCTATCCAGTGGCTTCTGAGCAGGCTAGGTGGTTATCAAGTTCGATGGCATGCACTCCAGGAGAAGACGGCAGCAGAGGCTCAATCTCAATCGGACACGCCCAAGTGGAACCCAGCAACCCATGAGCTAGAAGAAGGCGTAGCATTAATCAATGAGCATGCTCCAGACTGTGATGGTCGAAACGAGCAGGCTCTCTGGATATTGATCAGCATCAAGGCCGACTCTGGTACACCGATTGCTGGGTGGCCAGAACACAAGGTGCGGATGATGGCTCAGAACAAGAGTCGGGGAGGAGGTGGAGCTGTCAGCATTCCTGACTTTCCCTTGACAACTTTCAGTCTCAAGCCATTCGTGCACGATGTCCTACTTCCCTATCTGTACCCTCTACTCAGCACTTCGGCATTATGCTCTTGGGCTGCCCAGGTGTGGGGAAGACACCCTTTGTCATTGTGATGTCCATGGCGTTGGGTCGGTATCATGTTCGCTGCAGCGACATAGAAAGCTTGAAGCCAGGATCCGGTGGTGCATGAGGCTTTCTGCCTGAATGACCCTTGCCGTTCCAAAGTCAGCATTGCCGAACTGAAGAGCTTTGTCACTGCAGATGAAGATGGCACCGTACAGTCAAGATACAATGATACACGTCTGCTACGCAACCAAATGAGGGCCTTTGCATCCAATGACCTGCCGGATGAAAGGTTTGATAGCAATTGCAAAGATCGTGTCATGTCAGCAGGTGATTTCTTCAGCCTCCTGAGTGACATCTTCGAAGGAGAAAAGGAGAAGGATGTTCTGGCTGGCCTGAAGCGCGCCATTGTCTTCATGTTCTCCAGCAATGCCCTCTATCTTCGTCTCCCCAGTGAACACAAGGATGCCATGGTGCATCGCATTTGTGTTGATGATATCCACAACGATCTGTTCAGTCCCGTGACGAGCCTTTGTATGGAAAATACAAGAATGGCATTTTGGAGACTGGGTCCACTTTTGATGCAGATATCAGGAAGGAGCAGGAGATGGTGGAGAAGGGTGTTGCAAAGATGACCGACTTTGAGCACGGCAAGGTTACATCTCCTTGGTGAATCACAAGCTCCAAAGCAAACTCCAATTCCAAAGCGCCTGCGTCGTGGAACCTTCTCCAGGTCGCTCATCCAGCGAAGACCCTCCTGTGGTGGCTCCTGCTCCGCGCTGTGGCACTGAGCCTTCTGGTGGTCGCCGTATAGCCCCTTTGGCTACCCTGAGCGCACCAAGACTTCGCAACCAGAGTTGGAGGAGCTCGCTGCACAGTCCATGGGCTTTGACACTTAAGTGACTAGATGTTGGTACTGCTGAAAAACTGACATGTCCATGAATTCTCAGCACCTGTATAATAGACGACTTGATCCGCAAGCTTTGCTCCTGGGCGATCGCTCGCTTGTACATCCCGATTTTCACTCGCTTGTACATCCACTTTTTCCCTCGCTTGTACACCCATGAAGATCATGATCATGATCATGGGGATAATAATAATCATCATCATGATCTTCATCATCATGATATCATCCACAGTACCATTATCAGGGTTCAGCATCATCATCATCATCATCTTCATGATCTCATCTACAGCACCACCATCACAATCAGCATCAGCATCAGCATCAGCATCATCATCATCATCATCATCATCAGCATCAGCATCATCATCAGCATCATCATCATCATCCTCTTCATTAAAGAAGGTTTACCTCAGTCATCCGTTGCGCGATTCTTTTTGTATGGGCATCTGCGTGGTGCGCGCCTGTCCATCACGTCGGTGCCTTGATTTGTTGAGCCGCCGAATGTGTAGGTTCGAGGATAGACTGATCATGAAAGAGCAGTGCCTGTGTGTGCACGAGAGCAGAAGCACGTTATTGTCCCACCCCACCCCACCCCACCGGTAACTGATCATGAAAGAGCAGTGCCTGTGTCTGCAGGACAGCAAGAAAGATGATGAGGTTGCTGTGCCTGTGGGTGCACGGGAACATGAACGTTATTATCCCACCCCACCCCACCCCACCATCAGCAGTGCCTGTGTCTGCAGGACAGCAAGAAGATGATGAGGTTGCTGTGCCTGTGTGTGCACAGGATCATGAGCGTTATTGTCCCACCCCACCCCACCGCACCCCACAGCGAACAATGATGAAAGTGCAGTGGCTATGCCCAGGATGAGAGATGATGAGGGTGCGCAAGTGAGTGACATTTTGCTCACTGGGTGTGCAAGTGAGTGAGGGTGCGCAAGTGAGTGAAATTTCGGGTGCGCAAGTGATGGTAGCAGCTTTGAACTTCTCCATGGTGGCAGAAAAGGTGAGCATGGTCTACTTGCTTGTCGTGCTGTGTCTGTTTTCTCAAAGCATGTGACACACGTGCAAACATTTGCAAACAAAACTTGTCGGTGCATCTTCAAACAACTTGGGTTTGCATTCTTCTGCACAATTGTCACAAATGCAAACATCATAAGCGTGGATGAATTTGCATAGAACTTGTCTGTGAGGAAAAGTCCCGTTTGCACTGCAGCCATTTTGGGCTCTCTTGTCTGCCTCCCGTGCTACAGCAAAGCTCGTGCGGTCATGCCGTCCAAGTTTCCGGTTCCCAAATGCCAAGAAGCACCCTGCTGCCATGAAGACAAAGCAATGGAAGTCTGTGCCATATGTCAGGACAAGAAAAGCAATTATACCGGCCAAAAGATTGACAGTCTACATGGCAAAGAACTTTGTGGGACCTCATACCGAAGAATGACAAAGCGCTTGTGAACCTCTTGAGGAAGGATGGTTCGCTACCGAAGTGGGAGGGCAAGACTTGTCCAAGGTGTGGTACTGGCAAGTTGTCTGCTCTTCAACCAGACAAAGTAGGCGCCATGCTGAGACATCGCTGCAATGCCAAAGGATGCCAGACCTACATCAACCTGCATCATCTCCATCCTCTTTGTCGACGGCAAGCGAGCGTCTAGTCTCCAACAACAGGCTGCTGCTCTGCTTCTTTCTTCTACAGCGCGTCTCTCGTGTCTCCATCCATCGTTTGCTAGGGGTGAACCACAAATTCCTTGAGACACTGAGCAAGAACCTGCGAGATGTGAGGAAGCAATGGGCTGAAGAGAAGGGAAGAACATTATCTTTGGAAGGGGCCATGCTTGGAAGGACGTTGCAGCAGATGAGACAACCTTTGACAAGAAAGATTGGGGCAATGAAGCGGTCAATCGTGCCAAGCCAGTTGAGTGGGAGCAACGGTGTGGCATTGTTGAACGCGGTCGCCCTGAGTCTCTTCTCCTTCGGCGCCTCCGTCCCGAACCATGCGAGAAACGTGCTCCAGGGCCAGGTGCGATTCGCAAAGTCGAATGGGAATCATTGGCTTCCAAGCATCTGAAGGACAGACAAGTGATCCTACACACCGATGCTGCAAAGTCATACAAAGCCAAGGCGCGTGGAATGCTTCATGAAAAGGTGGTCCATGGGAAAAAACGCGTCAAAGTGAGAGGCAAATTTAAATGGCAAGCGCCTGCTTATGTTCGGCTTGTCAAGCACACCTGCCCCAAGACGGGGAAGACTGTTGTGGTGAAATCTGGTACCCAGATTGTAGATCGGGCATGGAAATTTCTGAAAGAGCGCGTTCAGATCAATCAGCATGCCAAAGCTGGTTCTGCCAATTTGCGTGCGCAATTGCGATCTGCCCAGTATGAGTACTGGCACATGGGTCACAATCTGTGGATGCACACAGGGGTGCTTTGTCGCTGGGCAATGACAAAGTTCACCAGCTGAAGAACTTGAAATCCTGCCGTATAGGCAAAATGATCGTCTGCAGCGTGTCACTGTCCATATGTATATCTTGACCAATACTTTCATCCATGTCTATTGCATACCCTACATTTATAGCATTCATTTGTATCTTCCCAAAGTATGGCATCTGGTTGAAATTCTGCATATCCCTCCACGGCGTCACCAGGTTCATAGTTTCGTGGGACGTGCGGATCTTCGCACATTCTGCATACATCTATGTCTACACAAACTGTGTTATCCCTGTCATATGCTTCCTACATATTCATATTTCATACTTTGTTCTGTTTCTAGCTGCCTTACCTTCGACCACACACTACCAAAAAGTTAGGTATATGGGGGGTAGCATATATGTGTATATATATTAATGTATATATATATATATACGTATACATATATGTAAATTACAAATATGTACAGAACATTACTTTTTC